TTTAAATATTTTTTGATAAAATCAAATCAAAACAAACGTAAATAGTAGCACACTTCATAAGAAAGGAGGAAATTATGAGTAACTATATTTAATTTAGAGGTTGAAACCTAGGTCAAGGTTTTAGGGTAGGCATTTTCGAGGAAGTTAGTGTTCACAAATTAAGTCTTTATGTGTTATGTTGTGTGCCTAACTTATTCCAGTGTAATTTATCCCACTTTTGAGCTTAAGTTTTAAAAGTTTTTCATTATCATAAAGAGGCTTTTCTATGTTGGATATTTTTTTATTAGATAAAACTCTAATATGAGTAACGTAAATTTAGGTAGAATTTAAATTCCATAAATTTTGAATGCGTTTTTTTAAAAAAATTATTTGATTTTTGGTCAAACTAAAATCCATGAAACACAAAATTTTCTAATACAATAAATTTTAAACTAAATTTTCAATAAAGAAATATAATCTCAAAACGAGTTAACTAATAAAATAACTCAAATTATTCCATATAAGTTGGAGGAGGAAAGTTGTCTACTATTCTAAATCATCTAAATTTTTACCATATTTATTTTAAAAGTAAAATAGAGATGTAGACAATTGATCTTATTAAAGAATGTTGAACACAATCCAGTCGAACAGAAACCTCTCCTATGCAAAATTATTAAACGGATCTTAAAAAGTATTTTATGGATACTCAAAAATTTCTACAAAATTTTGGAAAAACCACATACGTAAATTATATTAAAATTTAAAAAATTAATTTTTATTTATATATTACTTTATATATGTGAATAAATTTTTGAAGCAGCCAGGGCTATTGCAAATTAAGTTCTCTTTCGAATAATTTTTTACTTTTAATTTTTTTTCTCACAAATCATTTATATATATTACATTTGATTTAATATATCCAATAATTTTACACAAATGTGAGTAAATATTAAAACTAATTTAAATATATATTTTAATTATTTTAAACATTTTAAGTATAAAATTGTAATGGAATTTTAGAAAATAAACAATACTTTAGATGAAGTAATTGGTCTTAAAACATTTAACGACAAACTCTAATTTGTCCCAGTCAAGAAACTTGTAGACCTGTAATAACGGATAATCCAGTTCGGTTCACCACGGGTTGGTCACTTAGTGAGTCAACACAACCTGACTCACTTATTAACGAGCTGAAAAAATTTGAACCTATCCGACCCACCACGGGTTGGCTTACTGACTTATTTAATTATAAGTTCTTTTTTAATATAAAAAAATTACAATTTTTTTTAATTCAAATATAAATAAACGTCACACTGAAATGATATTAAACTATAAAGATAATTCAAAATAAAAAAAAAATCATACAATCTAAGTGTAATCCAAAAACATGTACAATAGGCAAACAAATAAATTTTTAATATTGATAATTTTTGTATCACTTGTTCATTTACAATATTAGAGTCTTGAATAGATAAATCTATAATATTTTTCTCTCTTGAAACATAATTTTTTATCACCATCTACAATATAATAAAAAAATGCTAACTAATAATATTGAAACACAAAACAATAATTAATTAAATTAAATTAGGTGGGTTAATGAGTTAACCCGACTCACCACGGATTCAACTCGATGAGCCGAGTTCTAAGTGAACCGGATTGAAAACTAGTCTGCATAAAAATATTACATTTTTTTCAAATTCAGCTCAAACCCGTGATGAGCCGGGTTGACTCATAGGTTACAACCCATTTTGACAACACTAAAAACTTGTTATAATATATTCAGCAATTTGACGTCACTAAAAAATTAAGATTATTTCAACAATATTAAGGTTGAAGTAATTTAATTAAAACTAAGTGCTACAAAATATTACTAATTCCAGCATCATATATATATATATATATATATACCTACAAATAAACTGTATTTGAACAGGGAAGATGTCTTGAACTTCGTTTTTTTATAATGAACCCTTCAAAGTTATGGTATGTATGGTTATGAGTATCATATTTAAATATGCTAATAAAAATTGGTACACATTGATCTTATTATTATCACAGTGTAGATTATTTTAGTAAGAGATCTAGTTCTTAATCATAAGCGGGAAACAAACAAAAGACGAACAGAAAAAAAATGCTTTTACCATGTGAAGTTGTCGTATGAACCACACACACATGTTTTTTTAACAGACAAAAGAATTTAGGGTTAAATATGTTTTTAGTCCCTAAATTATTGACCGTTTCTGGTTTTCGTCCCTCTTCCAAAGTAAGGTACAATTTAGTCCTCAATCTTTAAAAAACGTTCGTATTAGTCGAAAAAACGAACGTTTTGAGGACTAAAACGAGGACTAAAAACAAAATTTTGAGGACTAAAACGAACGTTTTTCTAAAGAATGAGGACCAAATTGTACCTTACTTTGGAAGAGGGACGAAACCAGAAACGGTCAATAGTTTAGGGACTAAAAACATATTTAACCCAAGAATTTATTTAAGAATACACGACTTGTTGGGGCCCGAGAATTAAATATAGGGCTGCCCTTTTAAAACCTATTTTTCGTAAAATACATTGCATGTTTTATCCAAATAGATAACCGACCCCACAAAATAGAAAAAGCTTTTGTCGCCATTATATTTTCCTTCGAGTCACACGTTAATATTTCACCTATAAAAGTTATTATATATTAATTTACATTCTGTCAATAAAATATGATATATCACATCTAACTTCCATAAAAATGATTGATAATAATTTCATTATCTGATATGCCTTTTTTTACTGAGACAATTGTTTGAAAGTAAGTTATACTAAATATGGTCCAACACTAATATATGCATATACCTATTATTTATATTACAGGTGGATGTTTTTTTTCTAACTTTTACGAAAAAAAGTATGGTGCCTTGCTTAAAATATAGTCGCGAAACATATAATGTGCATAAAAAGTTTTCTGGACTTGTACTTTGCCATAGGAAGACCAACTGGTCAACTCTGACTTTCTTTTTAATATATTTTATTTTTTAACGACCATCAATAAGTCTATATAAATAAATATTATACATCTTACTAATGCTTTTAGATAATCCAACCGAGGAAAAAAGAAATTTAATATTGTTGTAACATATATATATATATATATATATATATATATATATAAGCTTAATGAAGAAAATGCTATTTATTTATTTATTTAAATGTAATTATTAGGCTTGAATTCTTTCTGGACAACCTAAAATACAAAGTCTGGTTTGATTTAATTTCTTTTCCTATTTTTTTTTTCATTTTTGTTAAAGGAGAATGCAAACGAAGTAAAACTTTTTCAATAAAAAAACTCTTCAAATAAAAATTATCTTTTTAATGGAAATAGCTTTCACTTTCTACTCTCTATAAACCTAACTGAATCAAACAATGTTTTAGTATATAACTAAATGATTAAGTTAGACCTATTGAAAATGGGTTCATAGACCTTCATATCATCTAATTTATTTCCATCTAACCTTAAATACCAAGACAAGGAAATTAATTTTGAATGTAATATCTTTGACAAAACCTAATAATGCACTTTTCTACAAAACCAAACTAAATTAAGTGGTCCTTACCACTACGCATTTAATTTTAACTGATCGATTCAAATCATAACACAGTAAAATGTTACACACAGACAACAATAAAAATTTACACGAATTACATATAAAAATAAAATAAAAACAATTATGCAGAAAAGGAGAGGAGACATTACTAAATATGTGAATAATATTATTTTTTTTCTCATTTTCTTTTTGCAAATTAATAGTTGACTGTCTCAACGCCTATCCGTCCAACTAAATTGTTTTTCATTTTAATTTGTCAGAGTGATGTTATAGTGAATGTAATTAAGAGATTAAACCGTAACTGGCTAAATATCTGGTTCTTGTCAAATCAGATTTGATTCATTATATGAAATAAATTTGTTGAAATCCAGACTTTTTTTATCAACAAAATAATAAAAAAAAATTATTATGGGAGTGTAAGTAATTCCAATCCACTGTAAGGCCACCATAAAATGAAATAATATTTTTAATTTTATACATCTATTAACATAAATTATTTTCATGCTACTATTAATTATAATTATTATTAGTATTATTAATTACAATGTGAAATTTTATTTGACTAAATGTTATTATAATTAAAAATATCACATCTTAGAATATTAGTTGAATAAATAGACTAATTTGATCAATATGAAAAATGAAATAGAAACTTTGACTTCATTCACACGTTATCGTAACTGTAGAAGAAGAAAAAAAAATGAGAGAAAGTACAAACTCTCTGTTTGACTACACATGGAGGTCAATTGTTTCCATCTATCTATACAACATGTATCCAATGATTTCTAAGGAAAAACTATGAGGTTTTTGTGCATTTGTTTATCATTGTTTCCCTCATAAAATTGATTTGATTGTGCTACATATCAAGAATAATTAAACATTTATGGTTGGAAGTTTTCCCCTTTAAGTGTGTAATATTTAAAATAGTTATTGTTGATCTCCCACTTCAACTATGTCAAGTCATTCTACATAGTTAAATACAAATTTTATTTAATTATTTAGTTATGTGAAATTGAATTAAATTTAAAATACATTTATTAATATAATATTAGAGTTTGTTTAACTTTTGTATATTATTTATTATCGAATCTCTATCAAATTATTTATAAATATATAGTTTTGCATTTGATATGTTTAATTCTTAACTTTATCTATAAATATATAATTTTGCATTCGATATATTTAATTCTTAATTTGAGAAAGTATTATCATAAGTAAAATCAAATTATAATATATAAGATGGTGTAGATTTTAATTTGTAAACTAATTTTATAAGACTGAATCAAGTATATATATTTTTTTAATAAATTTTATAAACTTTAACTAACCATAAGTAAAAATACTTTAAAATATCCTAAAATATTAAAGAGAGATAGTTATACAAATTGAAGTATGGGTGTATGACATAGGAAGAAAATTTCTATGTAATTTACATATACTATTTTTTGTTTTAAAATTTAGGCATGTCATGGACTTAAAACATAGCTTTAAACCTAAAGTAAGGAGAAGAAGATGTATATATATGTGTGTATAAATAAAATGACTTACAGCTTCATGAAGGTTATTGGTAGTATTAGCAATGTTGGCGGAGGATTTAGCATTGGGTGGAAGGCGAAACTCATGCATCATCCAATCAGTTTTGGTGCCTTTTCCAGCACTTCCACGATAGTACACCAAAGACTTCTTCAGGCCAATGCAGTCATGGGGTTCCTTCACGCAGTATATCGACTTGTCTATTCCTGTGGCTTTCCAAAACCCTGACCTAGTTACCCTGTTTGGCCTCACACTGTTCCTGTACTTCCTCCCTCTTATGCAGAAAAAATACCATTCTTTGTCCCCAAATGAATTCACCTCTTCATGCATCAATTCCCACAACAAAATCATCATTCAAATAATTCATTATATATATTTATGCATATCATGCACAGATATATCAGACATACATGTATTAGACATGTCAATTAAAAATAATAAAATTAAATGTATTAAACATTTTCAACATAAAAATTTATATATTATTATTATTGTAAAAGTATTATTGATTTATCAATCAAATATTTTAAATTATTAGATATGTGTCGGACACGAATTCCTCACACAAATTAATTGATTTCAGCATCATAAACCATGAAAAGTCAAAGTAGGGTTTCTTATAGACAGATAAAATTGCTACCATGTATGATAAATTGATCTTCTTTTTATGATCATTCTTTTCAAAGCTTTTATCTTCTTTTACTAACATAATAGCATGAAAAGTTTCAGAAACATCGAAATAGAAACAGAACTTTACGAACTTGCTGACTGCAGTTTTCCTTCTTAAAACCGAAATGGTAATTAAGATTGGATATACAGAAGGTTGGGAAAACTTACATCCCAAGAAGCACTTTTTTTCAAATGTTCTTTAACGAAAAAGACAAAGCAAATATTTCTTAAGAAAAAGTAGAATCAAACAACATTACAAGCACTTTCATTTATCTTTATTAAGCCAAAACACTTCATATATCTCATAGTTTGATTCAATATAACATTAATTTGTATCTTCTTTCTCATACAACACTAAACTCCTTAATTATTTGAAAACAAACCTTTGATAAAAATTCAGCATACAAATGAAGTTCTTACAAACTCATATAGTGGAAGCAGATCTTACTTGGAAGATCCCATGGATCATATTTGTAGATATCAACCTGTTTGATGAGTTCAATTTTGAGAGGCTTCTTTTCCACCTTTCTATGGAGATAAAACCCAACAAGTTCTTCATCTGTAGGGTGGAATCTAAAGCCAGGAAGCACAACTTCTTCACCCTTTTTGGTATCGTCAGAGTCTTGTACTTTAGCATTCATTTTTTCTCTCTACTACTGATAAAGTTTGTTTCTTTAGAACCACAAGCCAAAGAACTTTTCATAAAACTGATGGGAAGATCCTGAGGTTGCAGAATTCTCCTCTTCCCCACATATTTATATACACTTTTGAGATATTATTTGGTTTCTTTGTTGGTGTTGAATGTTTTGGGAAGTGGAGTCAAGTCAAAAATTTCGATTATGAGATCATTATTAATCCGTAAAGACAAAGAAAGAGGATCCAATGCTGACAAGTTTATGAACCACACTACAAGACATGTTGATTTTTCTAGAGTGAGGGTGAGGGTGATGCATGTGCATGATGGGTGGTCCTCACTATACATGCATACCATCATGGAAAATTAACCATATTGATGGTGAAAAGGCAGTGACATGGGAATTTTTGAAACCCTGAGGTTTCACTGCCAGACCATATTGGAAAGTCAACAAGAGGGGGGCACCATTTTGACTATTGGACATATGAACGGAATAAATATATGTAAAACAACACTGTCAATTGATGAAAAGTCAAATAACATTTCAAAAGACATCAATACTGTTGTAGAAAAAATTCATGAGCTTTGTCACAAAAAAATTGAGAGGATTCATGCATTTTGGGATCAACCATATTCATTGCCTCTCTCATAAAGACTGTGTTGTCATAATGAATAGTGTAATTGTGTTAACTTATTGTTGTATGTTATTCAGTTCGTTTGAGTGATATATATTATAACTTTTTCACTGTCTGTATATGTTTGATTCTTTATTTTTATTTCATAACTTGTTGGAGATATTATGTCAATTAAAAATAAAAAAAATTAAAATGTATAAATAGATACAAGTGTCATAATTTTTATAAAGTTAAATTAAATTTTAAAATCAACTTTTTAAGATGTTATATCAAAATTTTAAAATTTATTTAACCAGATTTGTTATTTATTAAGTTTATTATGTCATAAATCATATCACTATTAATATATAGTAATATATATATATATATATATATATATATATATATATATATATATATATATATATATATACCTACAAATAAACTGTATTTGAACAGGGAAGATGTCTTGAACTTCGTTTTTTTATAATGAACCCTTCAAAGTTATGGTATGTATGGTTATGAGTATCATATTTAAATATGCTAATAAAAATTGGTACACATTGATCTTATTATTATCACAGTGTAGATTATTTTAGTAAGAGATCTAGTTCTTAATCATAAGCGGGAAACAAACAAAAGACGAACAGAAAAAAAATGCTTTTACCATGTGAAGTTGTCGTATGAACCACACACACATGTTTTTTTAACAGACAAAAGAATTTAGGGTTAAATATGTTTTTAGTCCCTAAATTATTGACCGTTTCTGGTTTTCGTCCCTCTTCCAAAGTAAGGTACAATTTAGTCCTCAATCTTTAAAAAACGTTCGTATTAGTCGAAAAAACGAACGTTTTGAGGACTAAAACGAGGACTAAAAACAAAATTTTGAGGACTAAAACGAACGTTTTTCTAAAGAATGAGGACCAAATTGTACCTTACTTTGGAAGAGGGACGAAACCAGAAACGGTCAATAGTTTAGGGACTAAAAACATATTTAACCCAAGAATTTATTTAAGAATACACGACTTGTTGGGGCCCGAGAATTAAATATAGGGCTGCCCTTTTAAAACCTATTTTTCGTAAAATACATTGCATGTTTTATCCAAATAGATAACCGACCCCACAAAATAGAAAAAGCTTTTGTCGCCATTATATTTTCCTTCGAGTCACACGTTAATATTTCACCTATAAAAGTTATTATATATTAATTTACATTCTGTCAATAAAATATGATATATCACATCTAACTTCCATAAAAATGATTGATAATAATTTCATTATCTGATATGCCTTTTTTTACTGAGACAATTGTTTGAAAGTAAGTTATACTAAATATGGTCCAACACTAATATATGCATATACCTATTATTTATATTACAGGTGGATGTTTTTTTTCTAACTTTTACGAAAAAAAGTATGGTGCCTTGCTTAAAATATAGTCGCGAAACATATAATGTGCATAAAAAGTTTTCTGGACTTGTACTTTGCCATAGGAAGACCAACTGGTCAACTCTGACTTTCTTTTTAATATATTTTATTTTTTAACGACCATCAATAAGTCTATATAAATAAATATTATACATCTTACTAATGCTTTTAGATAATCCAACCGAGGAAAAAAGAAATTTAATATTGTTGTAACATATATATATATATATATATATATATATATATATATATATGCTATTCAATTCATAAATAACTAATTGTTCTTCTTATTGCCTTAGTGGGTCACTAATAGATTCTAATTACCTTATAATATGCATTTTATTGTTTTAATATGCCACTAGGCTGAATTATTAGTATTATCCATATTGAAATATATAATTTCTCGGTCAGAGCTTAGAGCCTAGACATTAAGACAGCGCATAAAAACATGTAAGTTTGAAAATGAGCTAAAGGTACTTGAATTTCTGATGATGTGATTTTCTAATGCGAAAAATGATTATGACTTTCTTGTTATCTATAACAGAGCAATGTTGTTGACTTTAAATTATTTTGAAAGACGACAACTTGCACATAAATTTAGACTCAGTAGAACTTTGAAAAAAATTTGGAGGGGGATTGGTGTCATCAATTATTTATACAGTCAATTAAAAGCAACCATAATCATATCCTTTAATGTGTTTAGTTGTTGTGCCCACTGTCATCAACATCTTTAAATAATAATTAATAAAAGCAATTGTGGGAGCTCAAAGCGTGTATTCTTAGCACGTTTACATATTTCAAGAAACTAAATATACTTTATTTTGTCATTAAAATTTATAACTTTAGAGTTTGGAAGGTTTGTTCTGGATGTCATTATGTACCGAAAAAAAGTGTAATTGAATTGGTTATATATAGTAAGTGATAATAGTGTGTTTAAGAAGTATTATTTATTAAATATTCTAAATTTGTGAAATTTATTATTTAAAAAGATTTTTAATTTAGCTTTTTTTTAATTCTTGTTAATTATACAATAGAGCTTGTCTGGTCAAATTATTAACTAGACAAATCAACTTTTTGTTAAGTGAATCGATCGAAGCATATATAGACAAAACGATCACGTTAAAGCATATTAACTTTAAAATCATATTGTTTAATGAGTTAATTATAATTAGTCATATTTAGCCCGTAATTAGATCTATATTATTCAAAAGTCCATCACAAAGTCTATAAATAAAGGTTAAATCCATATTTAGTCAAAATTTTTTATAAAACCCAAAACCAGTCTCGTCCCTGTTAAGTTAAAAAGAATATGAAACATTTTTTCTTCTTCTCTCAAATGCATCATTTTCACAATATCCATCTTTTCATTCAGCTTCTCACTCACTTCAATCATCTTCGTGATTAGAGACATGGGTCACAATCATTATAGAATCCTCTTTGAGTCTAACAGAACAAAATCTTCAGCCTCTTTCGTTACTCAATTTGTTTTGGGCATTGCATGCAACTTTTCTTGGGTAGCATGTGCTCCTAGAGCCTTTGTTTTCTCTCGTTGCTAATTTGTAGTTCGTTTGGTTTAGTCCATTCATTTTTCCATTATCTTTAGGTTGAGGTAGAAGCTTCCATGAGTACAACGGCGACTTAAGATTCTTAGAGTTTTGAATTGTCTTCTAAGGTGACAGAAGCTAGGTTTTCACGAATTTGATGATTGATATTTTTTTTTCTAAGTGAACTGTTTGCATGAGTTGTTTCAATTGGTATCGTTGAAATGTGTATATAGTTTATTTGGTAAATTATATGATTTATGATGTTTTGGGATAAGAAATTTGAAGTGTTGCAATTGGTCAAAAGCATTTGTCATGGCGTTGAGTGGGACAAAGGGGCACTAAATGCCAGTGTTGTTTTTCAATTTGAGGGGCACTTTCATTATAGGCCATTGAGCATGAGACATTGTCGTTCAGTGCCATTTTTACAAGGAGCCCACTGACTTTCTGGCATTAAACATCTTTTTCTACTATTGGACACGATTTGGACAATGGTTCATTGTCTCGCTAGTGTTGGGTGTTACCCAGATTTTTCCATTGCATCCTCTTTGTGAAAAGAAGATTCTTATTTTTTTAACCGTTAGATCAAGTTGGAATTTTAAAAGCGGATCCTAGACAAATAGTTCTTTACTTTGACAAGTCAAATCTTGAATGAGAGATTTATATTGAAAGCAGTTTTTCTCGTAAGGTTCTCATTGAATAGGTTGTTGACAATTTGACCTTTGTTTCTTATTTGATGCATAACTTATTCTACCATCACTCAATTGGGTTGATTCTTTTGCATTGTCTTCTTTACTTAATCATCTTTAATTTGGAGGTAAAAACAAAATTTATGGAGTTTTACAAAAACTGTAGTTTTATTTCCAAAATCCCAAATAATTTGTATCTATGTTGTCAAATTGTCATTTTGTATCTTTAAATACTTATGAGGATGTGCAAGTTAATGTGGGATTCATTAAAAGCATATGAACCATTTAGGTTACGTAGAAATTGTATTTTATATATTTTTAACGTTGTCAATAAAAAGGACCAACTTTGAACCATTTTTACAAAACATAAGATCACTCTGAATAACTAAAAAAATAATAGGAGGACCACTTTAAATATAACTAACAAAATTAAGAACCAAAATTGCTATTAAACCTATTATTATCACTAAAGGACTTTTTGATTGTTACATTAATTTAAAAGAATGGTTTAATTAAAAAAGAACGAAATAAAACAATTAAATTTTTAGTATAATTATTAAAAAAAAATACTCTTTATATAATAATATAGATAATCATTATCGTTTCCAATAATTCATCTGATTTAATGATTTAACTATTTTAAAACTTAGAGATCACATAAGACAATTATAAGATACACACTTTATTTGTTTACATATGTAAGTTTTGTGATTTGAAATTGTATACTTTCAATTTTATAATAACAAGGAAAAAATAGATAAATAAAAAATATTACTTGCTTTATTGATGCGAGATGTTGTATATGTTATTGTGTATAGTTGTATATTATTGATCAAAATTAAAATCTACAATTATATAATTATTTTCTAATCTTGGCCGTTTAAATAAATTTAATAATGTCAATATATATAATTCTTATTCATATTT